GATTAATAAGCCTGTCTTCTGCCAAGGTTTTATCACATTCTTTTTTTTTTAAATACATTTTATTGATTTTTTTTTTTTTTACAGAGAGGAAGGGAGAGGGATAGAAAGTTAGAAACATCAATGAGAGAGGAATATTGATCAGCTGCCTCCTGCACAACCCCCACTGGGGATGTGCCCGCAACCAAGGTACATGCCCTTGACCAGAATTGAACCTAGGACCCTTTAGTCCACAGGCTGACACTCTATCCATTGAGCCAAACCATATATAATAAAAGCATCACGTTCTATATAATAAAAGCATCACGTTCTTAAGCGGTGAACTTGAATTTCAAGTTAAACCTGCACATTACAGGGGTTTCCCTGCACATTTAAAGTTGTATTATGCAATTAATATTAGATTAGTAGGCTTGGTCACAGGAATAATTTTTTTCCTTGCAGCAATTCCTGAGGGAAATCATTTGTTTTCAAGAGTATTGAACATAAAATTCATATGTATTACAAATGTCCCTACTGGATTGAACAGCTATGATCTATTCTCCATTTACTTAAAATAAATATTTGCTGGTCTCTTATATATAATATCATTACAATAAGGTTTATATCTTTGCTGACCCCTTATATATAGTCTAATCAGATTTATTGATTGCATCCACTTTTTCTCCATTTACTGTATGATTATGATCATATCTACCATGTCATTAAGTATACTATTGTTTATATTTTAATTTGCTTCAGCACATTTTTATTCTGATTATTTTGCTACTAAGCATTTGCATATGTTCCAAGAAGTGAATGATATGTGGGTTGTTAGAAAAAGAAGAAAATATTTGTCAAGAAATTATATGATAGCAAGAGAAAATTTAGAAAAATTTAATTTTATTTTATTATGCTTTTTAGAAATCATTCACATGGTTAAAAGGATGCCAATACTGCCAAAACCAGTTTGACTTGGTAGATAGAGGTCTGAAAGGTCCCAGGTTCGATTCTGGTCAAGGGCATGTACATTGGTTGTGGGCACATCCCTAATAGGGGGTGCACAGGAGGCAGTTGGTTTGTATTTCTCTCTCATTGACGTTTCTAGCTCTCTGTCCCTCTCCCTTCCTCTCTGTGGAAAATCAATAATATATATATATATATATATATTTTTTTTTTAAAGGATGCCAATACAAATAAAAGATACCAAGTGCAATGTTTATTGTCTTATTCAATATATTGAAACAGTTAAAACCTTTTCATAGCACTGACAATTGGTGGTATATAAATTATTTGAAACTTTGAATATTGGCTAAGAACAAAGGTAATATATCATGCTCCAGATGATAAAATATATTATACTAACAATAACCTATAAAGATATTGCTATAAAAGTTGAATTAGAAGTAAAATTTATACGTAGGTCTATCAATTATTATCAATATTTATTTTCTAATAATAGGCAGGAATAAAGAAGGCCAATTTAAATGAAAATAACGTATAGGCTAACAGCAAACAACATAGAAAAAACACATTTAAAGCAGGCTGTCAAGATTTGTTTTTATTTGTTCTTCCTCTTATGCTTAAGAGAAAACAGTATATTGTACTATATAATAAAAGCATCATATACAAATTGACCCTAACAGTGAAATCACCTGGAATCACCTGGAATGACCGGTCTCTATGATGTGCACTGACCACCAGGGGGCAGACACTCAATGCAGGAGCTGCCCCCTGGTGGTTAGAGTGCTTCCACAGTGGGAGCACAGCTCATTCAGAAGCCAGCCCATGGCTAGCCATGCAGAAGTGATGGCAGGATCCTCTCCTGCCTATGCGGCAGGGCTAAGGGTGTCCGAATAACAGCTTAAGCCCAGAGAGGGGGCCTAAGCTGTTAGTCAGACATTTCCTGAGGTCTCCTGGACTACCAAAGGGATGTCTGACTGCCAGCTTAGGCCTGATCCCCAGGGACCTAAGTCGGCAGGTGGATATCCCCCAAGGGATTCCAAACTGCGAGAGGGTGCAGGCTAGAATAAGGGAACCCCTCCCCCCCCCCTCCCAGTGCAAAAAGTTTTGTGCACTGGGCCTCTACTAAATTATAAGTAACAGCCTAAAAAGAGTTAAAAATATATATATACACATGCGTATACACACACACACACATTTTTTTAAGGATATTGTTTTCTTTAAGAGTTGGAAATTATATATTTTCCATTATTTAAGGTACATTAAAAAAATAAAGAATTCCTTAGCTGGTTTGGCTCAATGGATAGAGAGTCTGTCTGTGTACTGAAAGGTTCCAGGTTCCAGTCTGGTCAAGGGCACAAGCCAGGATTGTGGGCTAGATCCTCAGTAGAGAGTCTGCAGGAGGCAGCCAATCAATAATTCTCATCATTGATGCTTCTATCTTTCTCCCTCTTCTTTCTCCTCTGAAGTCAATAAAAATATGTTTCTTTACAAAAGAACTAAAAAAAAGATTAATATTGAAACGGGTATTATGTTTGTGATAGGATTTTTTTTACTTCCCTAAGATAGTTCCACATTAGATGTGTTCAGAGCAACTCCATGGGGAACACTTCAGAAAATTTCCTTCAGATAGGATTTGACCATATATATGGACAGTCACAGTGTGAGATTTAGTAAAGGAAATCCCTCTGAGGAAATGTAATACTTTAAGCCATGTGTCATTTCACATGTTCTAATATTATCGGCTTTCTGGATTATAGAGAGTTCTGTCTCCACTTCTCCCACCACTGCCCAAGTATTCTTTAGGCCTTTTCATATCTGGAAATTCTCTCACGGTCAACATATCAATATCAGAAGCTACATTTTCTGGTGATAAATCTGACTCCCCCTCTCTCATCTTTCTAAACCCCTATTGATCTTGGTCATTAATTCATTATAAATGATCATTCTTTGACCTTGTGCTATTTTACAACCCAACAGTGCTGTTTGGCTTCACTTGTTCCTACCCAATAAGAAAGATAATGGCCTGATATTTGAAGGGCATAAGTTTTGCTACTTTAGAATGCCACATCCTTAGGACTCTGCCATTCCTGCCTGGCACTTCCTCAGTTCTGAGTCTCTAACTGACTTCTGCCTCTGTCTGTTCCTACATAGCTAGAATGTTGTGAAACTATACTAATTGAGCCAATATATCTGTGGTCATGTAATTAATTTCTAAATCAGAGTCACGTTTCACTTTGAGAGTGGAAGTGCCTGTTATAAAACTGTTATAAACAGCTATCTCAGAGAAACCAGGGTGTGTCATCATTCCTAAGCAGGTAGACCACTTTCCCATAGGGATTAGCCTTGAATGGTCCTTAAAATTCTCTCCCTCTGTTGTTTTGTTTTGTTTTGTTTTGTTTTGTTTTGTTTTGTTTTGTTTTGTTGCCAGTTCCAGTGTCTGCCTTAAGTCAAGGCCTCAAGAAATGAATTTCTTCTTCCCTACCCCCAGTTTAATTCAACCAAAATCTATTACTTTCTGCTTTGCTGAGAAGATTTAAACCTCACCACATAAAAAAAATCTCTCTTAATAGTCATTTTCCTTGTCTAAATTAAAAGTCTTTTCATTCTTACTCAAAATTGTATTTATACTACTTCGATGACTTCTTTTGTGGAGGGTGAAGGGGTAGAGAATGGGCCATCAGGATGTCTTGGCTTTCCTCTGATATCACTGGTCACGGTCTCCCAGAATGTATGAAATAACTGTTTTCCAATTCACAAGCCTAAGTCATTATCTAAAAGTTTTAGAGTAAAATTTGCTCATCCACCATGATTGACTCAAGCATGCCTTAAGTGGTTGGCATTCCCTAACCCACTTTCTACAGATGCAATGGTTGATAAATATCTGAAATTGTCAATGTTACCTCAAATTTATAAAGTCTAAAACCCACTATGCTCCCTTATTTAGTCATAGAGATGAAATCTTGGATAAATTGTAAATGTTCCCTTTATAGTATCTCCAGATAAAATTATAAGTTGTTCTTCCACCACACCCCTCACACATATGCCAAGTTGTGCATTATTAACTGATACTCTGTCAATTAGGCCCACATATAATAGTATACCAACATTGTCTTAAAGCTTAAACACTGATCATTTGAGCTCTTCACAGACTTCTGTTTCTTCTCTTGGAGACTGAAATAAGCATGGACTTCTTAGCTTTGTATTCAGGGCTTTCCTTTCTCTGGCCTCAAAGCATACTCCCGGTTGTATTCTCTCACTATATTTCATATACTATCCAGATTGGATGGCATTGTCATGTCCTTTGTGTCACCAGATGTTCATTTTGCTCCTCTCTCCAAGGACATCTCAGGTAGAAATTCCATATTCTTAAGGCCTTTATCATAGTAAACCTCTTCCATGAGATATGGCATACTCACTTGTCAGGTTTGAAATCTTCTTTTTAAATTCCCAGTAGCGTTGTCCTGGTCTTATTTATTTTACTCTACCCCATAAACATTATTTGTGTACTTGTTTGACCCTCCTCTTATAGTATTATTTTCTAAAGGATAGGACATATGCTTTATTTATTATTTGAATACTAAAACACTATGCTTACTTATGCTATCAATTATTAACTACTTATTGGAATTATTATGTGAGTGTGACTATTTGAACATTATAAAAATATGTATATAACTGTAATGTGAAAATATTATTAGATTTCTGCAAATAAAGTTTTTCCCAATAATCAGGTAGCAAGTATCTTTATACCTAACATATCGTTGAACTGGTTGATGCATGAAGAAAGTACAGGATTCATTCATAGATACATTCTAGTCTCTGATTGAGCTGAGAGAAGATACCTGGTCCTTTATATTCCTCTCATCCTGCTTATGTCAAACAGAGCCCTCTATATGCATGCGAAATGCTGCAGTCATTCATTAAATAGATTCAATCTCTCATTTTCCTTAAATCATCACTGACTTGAGCTTACTGTTTTCTCAATTTAGGCCTAATAAAATTATGGCCAGTTATTCATTCTCTCATGAACCTAAAAGTGAACTATATTTCATTGCTTGTAGGATGGTATGGGAAATCTGAGAGTCACCAAGAAGGGAATCCGACTTGAAGGTATATCTGAGTTTCTACTTCCATTGTATGTGAAAGAAATTCATTCCCGAAAGGTATGTGATACTGGCTTTGGCTTACTGTGAAAGATAATGTAGAGGTTATGTTTTAGCTTGAAATAAGAAGCTAGAATCCCCTTATCTCTTCAGTGTGTAATTAAGTTTCCTTAAGCTAAAGACTTATTTAAATAAATCAAACAATTAAAAAGCTGAAAAACTAGTGAAGGGTAGTTTCAAAGTAACACATGAGAGAACCATTTAGAATTAAACTGTAGTATTGTGTCTGTTAGTCTATAAAAATATGCCCCTCTATTTGCAATGGAAGTTAAACATACACACTTGTAGGAATTCCAAAGGGGGCATTTGGTAAATCTTGAGCAATTTTTGCTGGAAGCATTGACTTGAATAAGTGATTTTATTTTAATATATTATATATTTGTTAATGCAGCTGCATTTTCTAAGATATGACAAAGAATCTTAGTATAGAAATTAAATTTATTTTGGAATTTATTTAAAGCAAGTAAGGATACTATTCTTTCACCTGTGTGTGTGCTCTGTGTGTTTTATCACCTAGCAGCATGTTAAAACTCAAAGGGTTATAAATGAGACATTGTTCATGTTGGTGTGCGTGTTACTTCTCCAAAGGCAGTAAGTATTCTTGGTTACCTCAGAATCTAACTAGAATCTTTCAATCTATAAGGCATTCCCTGGGATAAGTATGTAGGTGTGGAAATACATTTATTAAGACTGAAAAAAAAATAAAAGCATGTGACATAAAATTTGGAAAGATTGTTACTTATTTCATGAATATGAAAGTATTTTTAAAACTAGAATTATGTTTAAATATTACTGATATAATATCTTAGGAAATTGGGTACATAGTAAGACATAATTTGATAATTTGTTTCAAAGCCATTTTTTCACTTAAATGTCAGTGACAATAGAACAGAGCATTCCTTTATATAAAATCTTTAATGAGGATAATTATGTTGTTCTTTATTTTATTAATATTTTTTTATTAATTTTGGAGAGGAAGGGAGAGGGAGAGAGAGTTATAAACATCAATGATGAGAGAGAATTGTTGATTAGCTGCCTCTTTCACACCCCACTCTGGGATCGAGACCACAACCCGGGTATGAGCCTTAACCGGGCTTTGAACTATGACCTCCTGGTTCATAGGTTGATGCTCAACCACTGAGCAACACCAGGCAGGCTTAACTTTAAATTTTATTTTGTTATATGGAAACCTATAGAGTTTCACTAATATACTATATTGACTTTGGGTACTAGAAAAATTATACTGAAATTACTTTCTGCATTTTGGTCATACATAGTAGGCGCATGTATGACTACCTAGCCTTACTAGTACGTGATTAACTATAAAAGTAATTAAACTTAAAATTAAAAACTGATTGATGTTTTGTTTTATTTTTGTAAAAACTGAACAATATCATGCTTATACAGATTAGTGTTTTTCTTCCAACTGGAAGTTAGTGTTGTATTTGGATTAAACAATTTAATCTTCGAAGAAATGAAAACTTGTACATGGAAATCAAGAAATTACTTAACGTGGGAAGAAGGTGAGAGTCATCATAGGCAGGAACTTCTTTGAAAATTCATCCATTTGAGACCAAATTATATTGGCTGCTGGGAAAGCAATATAGGGAAAGTCAGAATTTACCCTCTCAGCTGGAACAGTTTTCAGAGCTATGGATTCTCGAGGACAGTTAGATGAATGTTTACATCATCTATTGACCTAATAAGAAAAAGTCCACTGATTCTAATATTAAAGTGTGAGCTGGTGGCAGTCAGGCCTCCTGAACTTTGTCCCTGGAAAGTTTGCAACCTCAGCTCACCAGCATTTCCAAAGTCCACTGTGGTGACCGACATCTAGATGCTGCCTGTCCCGTCTCCATTCCTGCTGCTTGTCATTCTTGTGTGTCCTCTAATCCTCACCTGCCTCTAGGGAACTGCCAAGTAAAAGGGGCTGCACAGGCTGGAGGCAAGGTCCGTCTGCAGTCATGGCATGGGTGTGTTTTGGGAACAGAAGGAGGAGACCCATTTGCTTCCTGAAAATTTCTCTACACATATACTACCATTTTTTTTATAAAGAAAAAACTGGATGGTGTGGCTCAGTGGTTAAGAAATGATCCATGAACCCGAAGGTCCAGGTTTGATTCCTGATCAGGGCACATGCCTGTGTTGTGGGCTCCATCCCTAGCAGAGGGCATGCTGGAGGCAGCCGATCAATGATTCCCTCTCAGCATGTATGTTTCTATTTGTCAGAAAATACTGTTCCCCACACACTTCTAGTCTCTCAATCTATAAACCAAGGGCTGTTCCTACTGTCTCCATGTTAACTGGCCTCCTTTTTCCACCTCTAAATGTCTATAGATATTTGGAGTTCTATAATTACCTATCACAGCTTACTCTCTTCTTTATGCTTTGGAGGGAAAAAATCAACCTTTCCTATAGTCCGTTATATCAGTGCACAGAAAATCATATCTGTTTGAAATATCTTAGAATTCAATGAACCTTTCAAAATTAACACATTGTTTTCAGAGAGTTAGAACTCGTTGAACATTTGGGAAATTAAATATATAGTTTTCTTCAATGAGAAGGAATAGTGAAGGATATGTAATTTGGGGCCACCTCAAATAAATGATTACATTCTGAATCAATCTTCAATGCACATGTTCTAACATTAGGTCAAAGGTTTTCCCATAGCAGGAAATCGGGACATGCAATCACCAGGCTGTTTGTTTTTTCACATAACTGAAGCATGTTACCCAAGATTTCATGAGTCCACAGTACTAACTGCATTTCACTGATTCTTCCCAGAAATTTGGCATCATGCAGGTCTCAGGGACTTCTTCAAGCATTACCCAACTTCATCTGAAATGAGCTGAACACTTTCTTGTTTACTTTTTTAGTGAAGTTGTTTCCTTACCACTGCCCTGGGATCCCAGCACCTTGCATACGAGATTGATACTTGTGCTGGGGAGCCATGCCAGATCATTCCAGTTTTCAATAACACCCAGCAAAGCAAACATGTTTGTTTTCTTTATGGTTCCTGTGTGAGTGGAGCTGTGAATGAGGCTCTGCTCCCCGCTCCATGCCCACTCATTTTACCTGGCATCAGAGCTCGGGTGCTAACTCCTTTCGTGGTGACAACCAGTTTCTTACCTTGGGTAATCAACACTTTTTTTTATAGAGTTCAGACACAGAGCCATGGGGTCAGGCAAGCCCAGCAAAACTCATTCCTGGTTATGTAGCATACTAATCTCCGGACCCTGTCTTTTTCCAGGTACCTTTTCTCCCCTATAAATCTCTTTGCTGGTCTCTTCCTCCCACACAAACCGATTCATGCAAAGAGACATGGGCAGGCTTCTGTAGTCATGCCCTCATTGTCATTATCATATTGCATTTAGATGTATAATTCAGGTGAAAGTGATTATTTTACTGTAAGGTCTTCATTCAGTTAAAAGAAAAAAAACTACAAATCATCCCAAAATCTTTACACTCAGAAAAGAAAAAAAAAAGAAAGAAAGAAAGAAAGAAAGAAAGAAAGAAAGAAAGAAAGAAAGAAAGAAAAACCCTGTTAAAATACATTGAATATCTTCACAGTTATATGTTTAAACATCTTCACAAAAGATAAGTCTGTAGAGAGAGACATGGGCATGCTTCTTACAATGAACAGTCATTTAGTAGAAGAAATATAATCTGAAATAAATTAAGAAGAATTACTGAACTTTAATTTTTCTCCACAACAAGAATTTTTTAAAGCTTGTCTTCATGTCCAGAATAAAAGTCTATGAGTACCATTTAGAAGCTGGCCGCCTCAGCCCCACGTGTCAATGTTCATTAACTCCCCGCAGTGCAATTGGAGGTGATTAGCTCCTCTTCAATTTGTCCTCACCCTTTTTCATTTTCAGTTTTCTGGACAATTATATTATTTTAACTTTGCCAGAGTTCATAGTAATTGCATTCTGTTCTGCAACATTAATTGCCTTGGCACTTTGACCTTAATTCTATATCCAGGCGGCTGCAGTATTCACAACCTGTATTCCATTATGGCTTCTCTATAACTGAGTTCAATATTCAAGTCATCCTCCTTTCTTGTATTTCACTGCTAATTTGTTTTGTTTGTGTGTTTGCTTGTTTGCTTGTTAACCCTTGAAATATTTCATGCTGAATATGTCTGTTTTCTTCTTTTTTTTTTTCTTTCTGGGAATATTAGTAAGGGCTTGTCACTTCTTTTACTGTTAACTCACTTCCTATGACATTCTAGCACTGAACATTGGCATAAAATCTCGGAAGGCCTGATACTTTGCTCTTATTCTGTCTGATCTGATACATTTTTTGCACTTTCACGTTTTCACCTCTGGGATACTTTTTTCTATGATGTCATTCAATATCTTTCAGATTCTTTTGTTGAGTCTTCACTTCTGAGAAAGCAGTAATTTGTATGTTGGATCATCTTTGTCCTTCACAGCTATCATAATGTATCCAATTATTTTAAACTCTGTTATTTTCCTCTGACTACAGTAGCTGCCATTATCTAGAGTCCTTACTTCCATAGCATTCACTTACTTAAAAATTTGAAAATATGAATTCTGCCCTTGCTTTCCCTCATTCATCTCTTTTATATACAATGATGCTGTTTTGATCCTCAGCATTTCCGTTAGGTCCACAGTCTCCTTTTAAATCTTCTTATATTTGGTGATTTTAAGCTATGGTTTTTATTTGATTTACTTATTTTAATTCTAAAACTTAAAGCACGTGCTTTACCTACCTTGAATTATCCATGATGAGTCACAATTTGAGGTAGAGGAATTAAGGGCTAGCCACTTCGTTTATTTTAAAAAGATAGTGAGAAGGGGAAGACAGACTGTGACTACCTTTTTCTCATCTGAGGTGCTACAAAGGGATTTCTGACAACCAGACATGGGCCATTTTTAGTCTATGGATCTTGGTGGCCCTTTCTGCCTCTGTAGAATATTTCCAGTGGTATAGACAGCCCTTCATTCTCGGTAGATTTTCCTAGCAGTGTCTAC